TTGACCGGCTATCACAGGTCAAAATTCGGTCAAAAGGGTTATGGTGAACATGAACAACAAGTTCCATGGTATATTGAATACAAAAAAAGGAAAGGGACCAAATAAGTACAAAGGCAAAAGTTAATTACCCTCAAGAGTCATTTTCCCCCTCTATTTCTATCTACAACTAATCGAACAATCTACTGGCCATGTCTCTGTCGAAGTCCTCGACACCGCCTCTCTTTCTCTCTACAATAATCTGAAGATCTTTAATGCTTCCATCCTCCATGCTATCACCGTCGATCGCCTTTTCATCTAGCACCGATTCTGAATCTAAAAAGAGATTGTAAATCAAAAATTTTTGTTCAATCTACAATCGATAATGAATAGAGTTCGTAGTTCAGTTATGCTTCTTGATTGATTGTTCCTCCGATATCAGTTTCTAATCAAATAATCGAGGCAGGAAATCGGATCTCAAAAGAGGCATTGACGATAAATTCGACATCGATATAGTGATTTCCGAAGGCATTCAACTTCATCGTCAATAGATCTGTCAATCGTCGATGTTTCTTCAATAAACACGGTAATTGCGAAAAACTATTTGACCTAATTAGTATAGGTGTTTATCATCACCGTTCCTCTTTATCATATTTCTAATGCTCGTATTGTGTTTTTCTATGAAATTATACATCGATTTTTATTTACAATTGTTCCAGTGTTGTTTTTAAATGTCATTTTCTTAGTTTCATATCCTATGTATTATGATTCATTTATATTCACTCTATAGGCTATTAGCATCTTGACTATTAATTTGTAGACATAAATGTGGTTCTTAATATTGCTGTAAAATTATGATATTATATGATGGCATAAAGTATTGAAATTATTAAAATTTATTGTTCAAACATACCTTATAAAATATAATAGATAAAATGGGGCTACATATATCTTACAATGGAAAAAGCTCCACTGTTTGATTGGTTTTAGCATCGGTTGTTGCATTATTAAAGTAGTAAAGTCCGAATATGAATGTTGAAAGGATTTATTAACTTGTGAATAAGAGTCATGAGCTAGTTTATTAAAATGTGAATAAGAGTCATAATGTGTGTGGTGTATACAAAATGTTTGATGAAATGTCTCAACGAAATTGAGTTAGTTATTAAATTATGAATAAGAGTCAAAGTATTTTATTAAATTGTGAATGAGTTTTGATGTAGGTGTTGCATACAAAGTTTTCGATTAAATGTTTCAATGAAATTTGCTTGGTTATTAAGTTGTGAATATTTGCTTTTTATGTATTTAGCTGTGAATATGTACATTATCAAGTTGTGAATTAGTGTTTAAAATATTGAATTAAACTGTGAATTAGTATTCATAATGTTGTATTAAATTGTGAAATATAGTTTTTATTCCATATTTGGTTTTTTGAAGGAAAGATGTTGATGGTGGTGACAGGTGATGGTAGATAGTGGCGTATGATAGTTGGCAGTGTTAATGTTGGTGGTGGTGTTATACTAAGGATACGTTCTATGTCTCACTCATCTTCTTTGTTGATTTCAGATATGTTATCCTCCTTTATGATTTATGTATATGTTTTTCTTTTGATGCTTGCTTTTGAAATATAAGGAAATTTATATGCACTGAACTGTGAATGATTTCCTTAATACAATAAAATATGAGATTATACATGTAAATGATTTGTAAGTGTATTGTATTAAACTGTTATTTTTGTGTATTAAGCTGTAAATTTTATTTATAGCTTAATATATAAAAATTCACAATTTAATACACATAAGTGCATGCAAATATTAACGTATAAATGAAACTTTTAAGTTGAGAATATAATTGTTAATATATAATTTTTGTGTATTAAACTATGAGTTTACTGTATTAACTTGTAAATTTTGTAAATATTTATTTTTGTGTATTAAACTGTGAATTTATTGTGATAGGCTGTGAATTTCATGTATTGAATTTTGATTTGACTGTATTAAGTTGTGAAACAACTGTATTTAGCTGTGATTTTTTTTTATTATTAATTTTATGTTTGGTTGTAAAATATGATAAGAAAAACCACAATTTGGAAATCTTTTTTTTTTTTTTCTAATTTTAAATAAATTAGGTCAAATATAATCTGTGAATATTGTGTAATTAAATTATGAAAAAAACACTAGCCTCTAAATTTAATGATATAAATGTAAGCTTCAAGTTAAGAATATGACATTTCTATGTGTTAAATTGTTAATTTATTATATTAATCTGTGAGTTTTATATATTAAATGGTATCTTGCTCTATTAAGTTATGAATTGACTATATTTTCTATGAAATTTCTTTTATAATTTTTTTTGTTAAAATATGAATGATTTATGTACGATTTTTTGCATTAATTTTCTTGTGATTTTTTTTTGTTGTATAAGTATGTAAATAATGTATAAGTTTTTATAATTGTTTTGCATTAAATTCAAAATTAAGTAAATTAATATGTTTATTAAATTGTGAATGCATCATTTAAGCTGTTAATGGATGGCTTTATATACAAATATGATTCAGAAGGAATGATGATTGCGATGGTGGCACAAGTGGCAGCAAGTGGTGGTGGTAGTAGTAGTAATCGAGTTTGAGTTTGACTTTTCTAAATTTGTGAATTAATGTAAAATGAATTGTATTAAGTTTTGAATTTTATGTATTAAACTATAAATGAGTTATATAAACCTGTATTTTATATACATTTTCTGTTGAAATATGAATGAATGTATGAATGAAAATATTAGACTATAAAAGTTACGATTTTGTTTTTTCTTACCGAAAAGATAAAAATTAGGATTATAACATATTTAATACGATTCATAATACATATTTATTTATGAAATGATGGTTCTTAGGGTTCTTAATCTTTTGTGGTTCTTATTTGAACCACTCTCTCTCTCTCTCTCTCTCTATATATATATATATATATATATATATATATATATATATATATATATATATATATATATATATATATATATATATATATATATATATATATATAGGAGGGTTCAATTGAGAAAAAAAAGGTTGAGAATGGGTGAATCATTCTCAGCCACTCATTTATTTTTGCCGCAAAAACCTCCGTCGTACCAGCAAAAATGGGAAAGGAATAGACATCTGTTTTCCAACAAAACATGTTTCCTTAAACTTTGCTAATCATTACCTTAATATATACAAAAATATAGTGCTTTCGTTTTTTTTTTTTTTTAAATTTTTAAGAAGCTATTTTTATTGAAAAAATGATTTTAACTATACCAAAATTCATGATTTTTTATTCTCTACAAATAGACATCCATATTGATATAGTTTTAAGATAAAATATATTTTTTATTTATTTTTTTATATTTTCAGCTATCGTTATTCAAAAGTGAATAAAAATGAATCAGATTTTTACTACAGTACATTCGTTATTCAATTATGAATAAAAACTATGATTATTTATTTATTTATTTATTTATTTATTTATTATTATTATTATTATTATTATTATTATTATTATTATTATTATTATTATTATTATTATTTTTACAATTTAAGTATCATTCATATATAAATATAGCATATAATAAACATAGTATAGTCCTATTTAAATATTAGACTATGCATTCACTTATGAATATTACATAGTATATTCACTTGTGAATATTAGATGGTATATTCACTTATGAATATTAGATAATATTTTCATATATGAATATTACATAGTATTACATGGTATATCACATATGAATATTACATAATATATTAATTTGTGAATATTAGATGATATATTTACTTATGAATATTACACAGTATATTCACATATGAATATTACAAGGTATTTTCACAAATATATATAATTTTTATATGTTATTCACATATGAAGAACATACAGACTTGCATATTTGGTTTTTTGTTTTAATAATCATATATTGAGAAAACATATTCATATATGAATATAACGTGGTAATTTAATTTAAGCATTTCATCAAACACTTGGAGTGCATACAATTTAACTTTTTTTAAAAAATGTTAAAAACATGATATTTTGACTATTTAAATCTTACAAAAGAGTAGATTGATAGAGAATTATATGATATTTTTCAAAAAAAAAAAAAAAAAAACGATTTGATCTTTTTCTAACCTCAATTTTGAAGTTTTATTTGATAATCGATGTTGAATGAATGATATGAAGTGGATTTTTGTTGATTATCGATGATGTTGATCTAATAATGATGGGAGTATAATTAATCATAGATGTTGAAGATCTGATCGTATTCAAGCACAATTGAAGGTTGAATTAAAAGAACCGAAAACGAATTTTTGTTGTTAACTGTTGAATCGTGTTGATTATTGACGAAGATCGATGATTGATTAGCATTGGATGATGTTGATGATGGTTTAATTGAAGAAATCTGGATGGTTGTTGAAAGTTGGAGAAGAAATTTGGATAATGAACGATGGATGGGTTTGAACTGTAATCTAATTCTCTACAGATACATATTTAAGATTGAAGTTTGTTATCATATTTACAAGTTTGCCACAGTGTATTTTTATGCTTAGATAAAATGAGTGGCTGTGAATGATTCCCCAATTCTCAACCTTTTTTATTTTTTCAATTGAACCCACCTCTCTCTCTCTCTCTCTCTCTATATATATATATATATATATATATATATATATATATATATATCAAGCAGTTCGGTTCAGTTATCCAGTTATCCACAGATACCTAAGTATTCAAACCAAAAGCGGTTTCGATTTTTTTCGGTTTTGGTTTTTTTGGTTTCGGATCGGACGGTTCGACTCGGTTTTTCGGTTTTACGTTTTTTTTTGCACACCCCTATCTTAAATACTATAACATAAATTGATTCGAATGAAAACAAAATATATATTTAAGAAACTTAGTTCATTATTAGTGAAATACAATAAATTCAGGGGGTCATATTGAAACTTGCAACTCGAAATAATTCCGTGTTTTTCTGGCTCCGTTTAAATTTCCTGTTTATTCGTGTTTTCTGTTTATCGCGATTGGATTTGGAATTGCTCTCTTCAATCCTCTGCAACTTCTGCCATCTCTAATCCCTTCCATTGCTGGCTTGTTCTTCATCAACCTTTTCTGCATGGTTAGTTTCTTGATTTTTCATCACCCCTTTTGCTTTTTCCAACGAATTGATTGAATGCTATAGATTCGAAGGTACAAAAATTGATTCTAACATACGCCCTTCTATTCATTTCGTATTTGGGCTTTTTTATGGGTGATTGAATGCCAATATGCAATATTTGTCCAATTGTGTAGGTTTGTGTCAAGTGTAGAGACAAATAATGGCATATAAGGTTGATCACGAGTATGATTACCTATTCAAGATCGTGTTAATTGGGGATTCGGGTGTCGGGAAATCCAATATACTTTCTAGGTTTACCCGGAATGAGTTCTGTTTGGAATCAAAATCCACCATTGGTGTCGAATTCGCTACAAGAACTCTTCAGGTTTGTCGCTTTCTACAAAGCTTGATTTCATATCAAGCCATGAAATTTCCCCTATGTTGTCCATCACATTTATGATTCATGTAGGACAAAATCGCCTGTATATTTTCCATTTCATTATGTATTGCATATTTATCATCGGAATCATTTCATATCAAGCTATTAAATCTATGCCTTTAATACATGAAAGATGACGAATATTTGCTTTAAAGTACTTGGCGTTATGGTTCTATGGATGATTGTAAGCTACAATGGAAAGTCATCTTACTCCATGATAAGATGTTAGTTTGAATAAATGCCACACAAACATGTGTAAATGGAAGGAAAAAGTAAAAAAGACAAGTTTGTAAAAAGTTAGAATTTAGGAAAAACATCATTTCCTGACTTTTTTAATAAAGTCTTTCATCATTAAGTTAAAAAAAATGCCCATCTTACTATATTTAGGATTTGTTTCATTTTTCCTTGGTGAATTACTACATGGATAAAGTGATGAATATGTAAATATGTCTCTCTAGAGTATGTAGACACTAGACACAAATTCCATTTAATTTTTGGACTAAATGAATTGTCTAAATTCGACTAAACGACCATTTTACAATTATGTTCGAAAGTTATGTGGAAAAACAAATGACTTTTTACACACAAAAAGAAACAACCATATATATTGGTTATTGAATGGATAAATAAAACGACGACCGTCCAACGAAAAAAGGCTGTTTCTTTTTTGCCCTAATCGTCTGAATGAGACTAAATTACCACTTTACCCTTCTATAAAAAAGGAAAAATCGAATTACCATATAATTTCGTTTGAGCAAATATAATGTAGGTCGAGGGGAAGACCGTGAAGGCGCAAATATGGGACACTGCGGGTCAAGAAAGGTATCGAGCAATCACAAGTGCGTATTATAGAGGAGCAGTCGGTGCCCTTTTGGTGTACGACATAACAAAAAGACAATCTTTTGAAAATGTACAAAGGTGGCTTCGTGAGCTAAGAGACCATGCGGACTCGAATATTGTCATCATGTTGGCGGGAAACAAGTCCGATTTGAACCATCTAAGAGCCGTACAAGAAACCGATGGTCAAGGGTTAGCAGAAAAGGAAAACCTTTCCTTTCTAGAAACTTCTGCATTAGAAGCTCTTAATGTCGAAAAGGCATTCCAAATGATTTTATTGGATATTTATCAGATAATTAGTAGGAAAGCACTGGCGGCTCAGGAAGCCGCCGCTGCGGTTCCTACCCAAGGGACCACCATAAATGTTGGTGATTATAATAATAATGGTAAACAAAAAGGTTGTTGTTCTCATTAAAAAGGAAAGTGTATTTGTTGTATATTTGGTCCTTTTTTTTTGTGGAAAGTACACATGGAAATGAAAAGTTGAAAAAAAAAGGAAAGTACACATGGAAATGAAAAGTTGAAAAAAAAAAAAATAGTAGGAATGTTGTTGAGATATTAGAAGGTTGGTTTCTTGCTTTAGAGATTGAGAAATAGGGTAATGAAGTTTTGTATATGGGTATTTTGTTTGAGTTTATATGAAATTATTGATGATTTATTTTACTTGAAAAGTTTTACTTCCATTTTGTTGTTTACGTGCTAAAGAACATTGTATTGATAGTTTAGAAGTGTCTCTTTAGATGTAGTTTTGACACAACAAACATAAGTTAATTACCATAGAGTGATCATGGATACTGTCTTCTTAACTTTAATTTGGGATGCTTTGGACGTATATAGATTATTTGGTGTTTAGGAACTAGAAGTATATAAGAGATATGTTGTTTGATTCAATTGTCTCTTTATTTTTTATTTGGCTTTGTAATGGGAATGGCAAAGCCAAAAAGAATTGGAATAAATGGATGCAAATTATCTAGAGATGAGAATATGATAAATCGAAACTTCAACAGTCACCATCATTTCCATCAATGTGGTCAAAATTGATTTTTAGAACGTTAATTTGGGTTCTATGATAATTGATCGGTATTTTAGTTAATTTGGGGTCGATTTCTGTAAGTGCGTTTTACCATTACTGTGTGTTAATTTGAACCTTAATTAGAAAGTTAGTTTATGGGTTTTGTTATAGTAGGAAAATATATTTCTAGATTTTAATAAGGAAGTCGTTATGTGTTGTTCAAAACTTAGATAAGTTGACTAGAAAAGACGAACTTAAAGCTTGGGGGTAGTTTCGGTGGGGATGGCTTTGTACATGCAGTGGCGGAGCTAGATGGGTCGTTGGGGGTACTACAGTACCCCCGAAAAATTGTTATATATATATATATATATATATATATATATATATATATATATATAATATTATTTGTAAACATGTTTCATGTTATTGTACCCCAAATAAAGAGATTATAACATGTTTTTTATTGTCCTATATTGGATAACTACATATAATATATATTCATAATGTTTTTACCCCTATATTAAAATTTCTAGTTCTGCCACTGTGTACATGGTGTGACATCCCCTAATTATATTCTATTATCCATACCACAATGTAATTACCTTTTTTTTGCTACTAATATAGGCAATATAGTGTAATGTTTCACATTGCTATAGTCAATAGATAAATTTAAGTATGTTGTTATTATGAGTAGGAAATTGGAAGTGCAATGCTATTATCTTTGCAAATATCCATCTTACAATTATATTAAATAATATATAAATGTATAAATTAACTTCACTGATAGTTTCATCTCAATATCTCTTATGATTATATCAATTCCAAATCTCTTATAAAAGCAATTTCAACATTATCCATCGCTCAAGTAGCTCAATAGTTTTGGTGATTTTATCTCCATCAAAAACCACCTTTGGGGAACCACATTGATTAAAAACAAAAATCATCCTTAACCAATTCAAATAAGTGGCAAACACTAAAAGCCATTGGGTAAAAAAGTTAGTTTGATAAAGGGGATCAATGTGTAATCATAGAGAAAAAAATCTGTTAGCCTCAAATTGAAAAAAATACATATGCAAGATTCACAAACATTTCATCAAACACCTAAAATGCATTCATGCTGGCATTACACTAGTACTATTCTCAAAAGATTAAAAGTTTTGGCGATTAGCCTTATATGAATTCAAGGTATATCTTCTAAACTAGATGAAATTGCACCAATTCCATTTTCGAATACAATAGAATGGTAAATAAACTAGTTTATCTAAGGCTTTATGAACACAACACCAGTGCAGGAACTGTGGTAAACTGTGGTAGTTTACCAAGATGTGTGAAATATGAGAGGAGAGTCCTAAGAAATTGATTAGAGGAGGAATTTAAAACTATACATGATTTTGATTTCTATGGAAGAGATTTAAGTGTTAATTGATGAATAACAGAGAGGCAATTTCATATATGGTAGTTTGGCGTACGAAAGATGGTGTGAACTGAGCGTCAGTTGATGAACCCACAAAAATCGTCACTTCTCTCTCTCTCTCTCTCTCTCTCTCTCTCTCTCTCCTTAAGATCCTTTTCCTTTGAGTTTGTTTTTTTGTCGATCGCTTCTTGATCGACGACCCAACAAGGATCATCCCCTAGAACCAATTGAACATGTCTTGTATTTTTTTTATCTTTACACACACAAGGTTTGACTACAAGGAACAGTAGGGACAAGAATCGATCAACATTCTATGGGAGTTTTAACGCTTTTTCTAGTTGTCCCTAGACTTCCATTGTTAAGTTCCAAACATTCCTAGCCCTAATAACTTGACATTCTAAATTTGTTTTAATGACATTTTCATTCCACCTTTATATTTATACTTTTTAATTCAATATATTATCCTATTTCTTCCAAAAACAAAAAAATTGTTTAATTAAATTATACACCTTTTAAACGGATTATATTTGCTCTATATTCCTTCACATCAATTTAAATAAAACAATATACTCAATTAGCTCTTTAGGTGTTAATTGACACCCTTTTTACTTAATTTATTTTGTTTTATCCTCTTAGCAACGAAATAAATTTATGTTGCTCAATAACCTTGTAATGGAACACTAACGTCGTTAAAGGAAGGATTTTCGGGTCGTTACATCAACAATACAGAAAACTAACAACATATGGATAAGCACATGATATTTTGATAGTTTTCATCACCGTGTGAGTTATGACAAATCACATGGCCCAATCATGTAATTTTCTTTAAAAAAATATAAATAATAATAAAGAAATCAATATATATATATATATATATATATTAATTAAATAATATATTGCATCAAATAGCAACATATTTATGTATTTATGTCCATACTAGTAACATATTTTATTTTTGTCCACAATAGTACTAAGTTGTATATTTTTATCAATATATGTGATATGGAACATATTTAACTAATATGGTTTAATGCTTAAGTCTTATGGCTTAGGGCTTAATATTTAGGTCTTATGGAATAGGGCTTGTGAATTAAGGCTTAAAGATTTGGGCTTTGGGCTTATAACTTATGGCTTATGGCGTATCGTTTATAGATTAATAGTTATGGCTTTCAGATTAGGTTGTGGGACTTAGTCTTAGGGCTTTGGATTATAGCTTACGACTTAGGGATTAAGGCTTATAGCGTAAGGAATATTGCTTAAGGATTAAGGTGTATGGCTTAAGTCTTATGACTTATGACTTAGGTTTTAGACCTTATGGCTCATGGCTTAATGCTTAGGGATTATGCCATATGGTGTAAGGCTTAGGGTTTATGGGGTATGAATTAGATTTTATGTATTTGAGTATGTATGTGTATGTATATGCATATATGTATATGTGCATGCATTTTATAAGACCCAAGCCTTAAGACTACCACATAAGCCATAATCCATAAGCACTACGTATGAAACCCTAAGCACTAAGCATACACCAAACACTAAGCCCTATGCCTTATGGTGGGTTGGGTTGGTTGGTGGGTGTTAGAGATTGTGGGTTAAGGTTTACGACTTATGGTTTAGGGATAAAGGATTATAACTTATGGCTTAAGACTTATGAATTTTGGATTGTGGCTTAAGACTTAAGGCTTAAGGTAGATGAGACAGAATTGATAAAATCAAAGCGCTAACCCTTAGACTTAATCCTTAAACTATTAACAATAAGCCATAAACCATAATCTAAAAACAGTAATCCATAATCCTTATAGATTAGGGTGTATAACTTAGGCTTAAGGCTTCTCTCTTAGGTGTTATTATGCATTGTTTATGTCTTGTGGCTTATAGGTTAAGGATTATGACTTATTGATTATAAATTAATGCTTATGCCTTATGGCTTATAACTTATGGTTCATGTCTCGAGACTTATGAATTAAGACTTAAGGCTTATAACTTATAGCTTATAGTGTATGATATTTAGCTTATAGCATTATAGCTTATTGATTATGACTTATGACTTAGGGATTATGGATTATGGATTAGGTCTTATGTCTTATAGGTTTGGGCTTAAATCACATTCCCACAAGCCTATGCCAACAATTACCTCATCCCACATCCCCACCTACACCCACCCACCAATCCAGCTAACTCTACCCCTGCCTACACCAATAACACCCACCTCGCCCTACATCCATACCCACACTTCTACACCCCTAACATTGCCTTATATAACCTACACCACCCACCCACACATATACCTACTCTATACGTATCGAACTGATACCTTGACACTTATATGTACATACTCATTCACCAACCCTTACCATAATATATGTAATACTGCATTTCTAGGTTTTTTTTTTTTTACCTTAAGCCCTTCATCTTTAAAATCCTTGAGAAATGGTCCTCAGCCAAGTACGCTAGGCGTACTGGCTCGTTAGATGGCCGCAGAGGTGCCGATGTACGTTGGGCATGCGTGGAAGTATGCAAGGTATACGCTCAGCTGGGACAAACCATAATTTTCAAGGTTTGTGCCCTATTTAAACACCTTAAGTTGCCTTTAAGGTTTCTTATGACCAGCTTCCATCTCTCAAACCCTAAGAACGAAACCCTAGCCTTCATTTGAGTTGTAACCTTGAGGTGTTTTTGGAACCTTTGAAGGAGGTGAAGCTTGGTGTTGAAGCTTTGGTGGACTTAGAGCTTGAATATCCATAATCTTCATCAACTTTGCAAGCTATTTGAGGTATAAAGCTCTTAACTTGATGAATCATTTGGTTAGATATACTTACGACTTATTTTTATGCCTTTTGTGGTCCTTTAAGCCATGCTTGAGAGTATAAGCTACTCTAGAAGCTAGGGTTGGTAGATCTTGGCATTTTTGAGGCCCCTTGTTCATAAAGATGCAATATTGATGAGTCATCTTGGCCCATGCACGAGTTAAAGTTACTTTTTTGGATTAGGTGTCTAAGTCCATAACTGTAATTGGTATATACTTAAATTGATAGTAGCACAGTCCTTTTGGGTTGCCCTCAAGACTAGCAACTAGATCGAATGATTTTGTAAAAGGAGTTTGATTTATGAATTTGATTAATAAATTGAAATAATTAATTTTTTAATATATTATGAGAATAATATATTAATTAGAAATAGTAATATTTAATTAATATTTCATCAAATATATA